ATATTCCTTTCTACCAAAATAAAACAAAACAAAACAAAAAGCCTCTAACCCTGCTGGTCCCCCCCTCTAGTCTGAGAGCTTCTGGAGACATAGCCACTGTGTGTCCCGGCCTCTGAGAACAACACGTGGCTGTGGTGACTGCTCAGTAGGCATTTCATGACTAACTGTATGAGGGCTGTTAAGGTTGTCTGGTTCACCACTAAATCCATAGCATCTGCAACAATGTATGGGACACACAACAGACATTTATCGAAGGACTGCACAGCTCACCCCAGCATGCCACTGACACCCACCTCAAATCCACCAAAGAAAAGTAAGCTTCTGTAAAATCTTGCTTGACATTTTATTCTCCTGAGAGGGGAAGGCAGCAGAGGGAGTCGGGAGAGGGAGACTGGAGAGGGGATTCTGAAGCGAGGAAGGGAGGAGCCAGCAGAGTCCGCTGAGGTTCCCGGGATCTGAGGACAGGAGCCTGTGCTTCTTCCACAGGACAGGGCGAGAGGACTCAGAGAGGACCTGGAGCGGAGAGAAGAGCCCGCTATGGGCAGGTGTGATGGATCCCTGAGGAAAAGCAGGCACTCGGAATGTTATTTGCTTAAGGTCCCACTGCCACCTGCCCCTGCTGAGAACACCCAGCGGCACATCCAGGAAGCCAGTCGGGAGCCTGAGCAGGTTGTAAGGCCTTGAAGAGAAAAGCCACAAGCACCAATGACAGGAAGTGGTGGGGACCCCTAATCTGCTAGCATAAAGTCCCAGATCATTGGCAAGTACCAGCTGAGCTGCCAGAGCCAATCACCGAGGCCCCTTTCTTGCCCCGTTGCCTTCCGCCGAGGCCTGTCGTCTCGGGCAAGCCTGGGCAGCCATGGAGGGAGAGGCCTGGAGCTCCCCGGCCTGAAGGGATTCCCTAGCCCAGATCTCAGGGCCCAGGGTTGTGGGGGAGGATGTGGCCCCAGCTCCTGACCCCAGGGGCCTATGCTGGACTGGGGACTGGAGTTTGACTAGGGGGTCTGATGACCTTGAATAGCTCCAGTCTGATGGCATTTCCTCAGGGTCAGGTCCATACACACAGTGACCTCCTTCAATTCTCATTCTAATCTATCAGAAATCAGGATTACTGTCTCCCCTTCACAGATGAAGATACTGAAGCTCAGAGATGTCAAGTTATTTGCTTAAAGTCACACAGCCAGGGAGAGAAGGAGACCAGATTTTATTCAACGACCACCTGTGCCTGAAGCCCAAGCTCTAATCAATATTTCTCAAACATTTCTAGCTAAAATCCATCTGCTCAATCCTCCACACTTTCCCGTGCTGGGAGGTAGGGGAATAATGTGTCCTAAGAAGGCAGCTTTGATGTATCATGGGGGAAACTGTCTCCAGCCCTGGGGAGGCGCCCCTACTCTCACCTCTGCACTCACCCATAGAAGGTTTGCACATCCTGATGTCCACGCAGATCTCCTGGGCAGTTTTTCTGCCCATGATGTCCTGGATAATTCTACCCAGGTACTTCCTTACGGTCTTTAGGCAGAAGTCACGCCATCGTGACTTCACCTTCTTGCATAGCCGGGTCGCAGCATCGGAAATGTCTTCCTGCAGCAGTAGTGCCATGGCAAGCATGGTTATAGGGTGAGTCCTGCCCAGATCTGGCACCCTGCAGGTTCCAGCAGCCCTGGCAATGGGTGTACTGGGTGCAAAGAGCCAGTGCCTGGTGCCCACGGGGCCAGAGACCCTAGAGACAGGCTCGGCCCCCACTCCCAGTTCCCAAGGCCTGGCCCAAGCCTGGCCACGTGGGGCTCATGGTACAAGGACAGTTACCCTGCTGGGGCCTCAGCCCCCTGTGCACCTGTCCCCTGCCTTCTGTGTGGAGAATGGTGCCTGTGGCTACCAGGCACACATTATGCTCTGCCATGTAGCTAGTTGTGTCCAGGACCTGGCTGGGGACTCCAGCTAGAGGGGGTGCATAGGGAAGACTGGTGGGGGGTGGGGGGATGGTCAGAGCGTGGAGTCTTGGCTCCTTTGGTTTTGAAGTCTCTTCTGTGCCATCCCAGTGGAGGAGGATGAATCTGGGTATGCAGGGCCGAGTGTGAGCCTGCAGTGCCCGGATGCTGAGTAGTTTGGGGGAGCAGAGGACAGGGAAGGAGGGACAGTGAAATAATCATTCTTGGTAGTAGCTCAGTCATTTGTTAAGCATTTACTCAGTGCTGGACGTGGAGTGAAGCACATCCCAGCCTTCAGCTCTTGTAAAAAGCTTTGGCAGCCAGGCCTGTAATCCCAGCACTCGGGAGGCTGAGGCGGGTGGATGGCTTCAGCTCAGAAGTTGGAGACCAGCCTGGGCAACACAGTGAGACCTCGTCTCTACAAAACTACAAACATTAGCTGGGCATGGTGGCGCACACCTGGAGTCCCAGCTACTCAACAGGCTCAAGCAGAATTGCTTAGGCCAGGGAGGCAGAGGCTGCAGTGAGCCGAGATCACACCACCGCACTCCAGCCGGGGTCACAGAGTAACATCCTATCTCCAAAAAAAACAGCTTTGGCAACTTGCAAGATAGGGACTATTATCCATCCCATTTCAAAGATAAAATAACTGAGGCTCAGAAAGTGGAAGTGACTTGCCCAAGGCCGTGCGGCTTGGAGGTAGCAGATCTGGAATTTATCAATCCTGACCCAGGCCTCTTGGGGAACCAGCTTCTCAAAGCTCTGCCTTGGACACAAATGCTAGGGCTTTGAGGGAAGGTTCCTAACTTCTCTGGGACAAGCCCTCTTTGAGGATACATGATGAAAACCATGTATACTCTGCCCTCTGACTTACACAGTTCCAGAGAGTCACAAACAATTTCACAAGCTCTCTGAAATTCATGCACAGACACATGGGAGCTCACAGCTTCCCTTCCAGGAAGCCCTCCCCAGGGCCACTGTGCAGGGTGCCCTGGGCTCCCACCCACATCCTGGTCACAGGCTGGCCCCTCCATTGAGCAGCAGACAGGAGGCCCCGTGGCCCCTCGGCCTCACCTCGGTGGGCTCCTTCACCATGTCCTTCAGTGTCTGGATCATCCTCAGACAGGTCTTGCAGCGGAAGCCCAGCATCTGTGTTTTGGTGAACAGATCACCCTGTCAGGATAAAGCCCCTTGTGGTGGTGTCTCAGACACTCTAGGAGCATGTAAAAGTGCCCAAAAAAGGGCCCTTGATGTTTCTGAAGCCGGAGGGAACGTCCGTGATCTCTGCCCGGAGCATGGATACACTGAAGGCCTGAACTGGCTGCCTGGCCCCTGCCCACCTTTCTGCTTGCCTTAGAGGCACACAGAACCCGCCTCCCACACCCCTAGGACTTCCCCAGCCCTGCACTTGACCCTCTCCTGTTGAGGAACTCCCAGGGGAGTCTGCTTATTTGGGTTCTGCAGCCCTAGGCTCCTTGAAGGGTGAGACCCCAGAGGATCCCCTTGGGGGAGTCTACCAGGTGTCCATACTCTCCTGGCCAGACGGGAATTCAACAAAACCAGCATCTTCTGAAACAGCCCAGCTTCCACCCCCATCTCCTCCCCTTTAGAGAGTTCCAGCCCTCACCCCAGGAGCCACCCAGGGAGGAAGGAAAGGAGAGGGACTGTGGGAGGCGAGCAGGGAGCTAACATGTACCTGGGGGTCCTCCAGGGCCAGGCATGGACAGGATTGCTCCTTGTCACCCAGGTGGGCTGTTGCCAGGTCATGGGACTCAGGGCTCAGACGAGAGACGACCAGACCTGAGGAAGAAGGCACTTCAGCTTCCCCTCCGCAGGCGGAAGGAGAGGAAAACCCATACTCCTGTCTGGTGGGAGCCCGGGAGGTGGCCAGGGCCCAGGACAGGAGCTGGGCCTTGCAGGGGCCGGGAGACCTGTCCGCATGCTCTGCCCTGGAGCTGCTCTGACGCACTCTCAGCACAAACACATATTTTCACGCTCCTAGAAAGCCAGGAGGGGGAGACTCTCCCTTCTCCTCTCTTCCCTCAGCAACAAAGGTTTGGGGGTCAGTTTGTCTAGAAACTTCCCCCATCTCCTTTCAAGAGATTTTCTTTTTTTACCTTCCATCCAGATGGCCCAGCCAAATCCACTCTCCCTTACAAGAGTGTCTTTGCCCTTCGGGCTCACGCTGACCCCAAGGCCTGAGACAGAGCAGGCTACAGGGGCAGGGAGTCTGCCTTGAACAGGGAAGAGCCCTCTTCTGTCACCAGCCCTCACAATGTTAGCCAGTGTGGGCCCAAGGAAAAGCAGACCCACCGATGAGGGCCAATGGCCTTCACCACACAGATGTAGGGGCAAGGCTTTGGGAGGGAAAGGGGGGTCCCAGGCCCCTGCCCCTCTAAGTGTGGCCAGTAGAGTTAGGACCAGAATTCCCAGCCTGTCTCTCCTCCTCAACCAGGCCACTGGCAGGCTGGGCAGCGCACTGGGCTATGCCTGGCTCTGAGGGGACGGCCGGGCCTCCATGACTAGGGAGGGAGGAAACTGGGGAGAGTCAGGGGAACCTGAGTGCCCACAGAGCCCATGCTCGGGGTTCAGCCAGCCGGAGAGTGCGGGGCTAGGAGGGCCATTAGGATCGATCCCAAGGGGAAGGCCTTACCTGGGTTGCCCAGGAGCATGGCGGCAAGGAGCAGGAGGGCCCAGGTAGCCATGGTGGCGTGGCTGCTGAGATGTCCTCCACACCCTGTGTTATGGGCAGGGACACTGCAGCCTAACCTTTCTCAGGTCCTGCTCTTTTTGTATGTCATCTCCCCGTGTCACTGGGCTTACCACAAACACCAATACCAATTTGTGAAGAAACAGGGTGGGGCGGTGGGAGCCCAGAAGGCCCGTGTCCTGTGGTCCACACCCCACACCCACACAACTAGAATGTGGGGTGCCTGGGGTGTGCTAATGGAGGGAGAAGCCCCTGCCGTGGGGGGTCAGGCAGGGCCCTTGCTTGTCAGCATCCCCATCCCTCTTCTCCTCCTCTCCCCTCCCCCCTGCTCCTCTTCCTGGATGTTTAGGCTGATGCTGTTCTTGGCCGCATCCTCATTCACGGATTCTTCCAGCTACCAGGTTTAGCAAGCAAAAATTTCTGATTCCCAGTTCAATTTGAATATGATGAAGAATAAATAATTTAGTACAAGTATGTTCCAAATATTGCATGGCACATACCTATACTAAAAATTATTGCCTGGTGTGGTGGCTCAAGCCTGTAATGCCAGCACTTTGAGAAACCAAGCTGAGTGGCTCACTTGAGCTCAGGAGTTTGAGACCAAGCAGGCTGGCAACATAGAGACCCCCATCTCTACAAAATATCTCTTAAAATCAGCCAGTGGGGGTTTGGAGTGGTGAGAAAAAGCCAGGCATGGTGGCACGTGCCTGTAGTCCCAGCTACTCAGGAGGCTGAGGCAGGAGGATTGCTTGAGCCCAGAAGGTCAAGGCTGCAGTGAGCCGTGATTGCACCACTGCTCTCCAGACTGGGTGACACAGTGAGACCGTGGCTCAAAAAAAAATTATTGTTTTCCTGAAATTCAGATTAAATTGAGCATCTTATATTTTCTCTGGCAACCCTAACCCAGCCCCTTCCTGGCTCAGATAAGGAAACTGAGGCCTGGAGAACAGGAAGTACTGACTTAAGCCATATGGCCTGCTGGGGACATAGTTAGAACCAGAAACTGGCCTCACTCTCCTTTGGAGGGTCCTTCATCTCAGGCTGATCAGATGGCTTAGGGACCCAGCCAGCTCCAGTTGACACCCCCTCTTCAGCACCTCCTGCCCTCAGATCCCCCTTAAATGTTATCTCATTATTTTATCTCCCAAAGAATCCCTTCACCTACTGAGTCCCAAACTTTAGCCCAGCCTTGTTCTCTAAAAAATTATATCCCTCCTGGGCTCATTCAGGGCCCTGCTCTCCACTCTGTTCCTTTTTTTTTCTTTTGGCTGGAGTGCAGTGCAGTGGCACAATCTCAGTTCACTGCAACCTCTGCCTCCCGAGTTGTTCAAGCGATTCTCCTGCTTCAGCCTCCCAAGCAGCTGGGACTGCAGGTGCTCACCACCAGGACCAGCTAATTTTGGATTTTTTTTAGTAGACATGGGGTTTCACCATGTTGGCCAGGCTGGTCTCGAGCTCCTGACCTCAAGTGGTCTGCCCATGTCGGCCTCCCAAAGTGCTGGGATTACAGGCGGGGGCCCCCGTGCCCAGCCTCCACTCTGCTTCTGCTGAGAAGGAAAAAGATGGCAGAGTTCCAACACAGGAAGGCCTCTCACAAGCTGGGGGCACCTTGAGCAAGGACTCCAGTTGCCCATCTGTCAAATGGGCCCCATCTCGCCTGCTCGAAGGGCTCCAGGGTGGTGTGTTCCTGGGTGTGCGGAGCCCGCGATGTGCTGTGCAAAACAGGCTGTTGTTACAGGTCAGCATTCCCAAAGTGGGCTCTGGAAAAACTGGCTCTGCAGGAGGCTGAAAGTGCTATTGAGGAGAGCAGGGGGTCCTGCCCTCAAGTGGAAACACTGGGCTCGCATGCTTCGCAGGCCTGCTTCCCGGGGCTCCTGGGTCCACTTAGCATGCCCGTTTTGGAATCCACAGCCTTTCCCCACATCCTTTGGTTTGGGGATGTGATTCGTTTTTTGTTTTGTTTTGTTTTTTGTGAGACAGTGTCTTGCTCTGTTGCCCAGGCTGGAGTGCAGTGGTGGGATATCAGCTTACTGCAACCTCTGCCTCCTGGGTTCAAGTGATCCTTCCACCTCAGCCTCCTGAGCAACTGGGACTACAGGTGCATGTCACCATGCCCAGATAATTTTAAAACTTTTTTTTTTGTAGAGACAGGGTCCTGTTATATTGCCCTGGCTGGTCTCCTGCTCTTGGGCTCCAGCGAGCCTCCCTCCACCTCTCAAACTGCTGGGATTACAGGCGTGAGCCACCGCACCTGTACTTTGTGATGTGATTCTTGATGGATTAATGACAAGTAGCTGATCTGGTCACCCTCTCAGGCTGGAGCGACCAGGGGCGCTACTAACCTAGCAACCTCTGAAGCCTTGGTGGCAGCTGTCATGGAAGCAGGAAACAGACAGACAGTCAGGCCCCACCCCAGAGATGCAGCCTGAGCTCCTTCTCATGCTGACTTCCTCTCCAGCTCAGAAAAAGGAGCGGGGGCAGAATCGAGAGGGAGAAAAGCAGGTTTGCTAAAGGTACCCCCTGAGGGATCAGACCAAACTGAGAAGAAGGAGATCCTTGAATCCTTTCTGGCTGTTCACCCCTCCCCCAGGAAGACAGACACACTCACTCACATGCACACATACTCCCAAACACATCCACATCACACACTAATACACACACACACACACACACACACACACAGTAACCCTCTCTCCAAAATACACACATTCACACACACTCACAGATTGAGACACACTCCCAAACACCCATACACTTGCATATGATTACAAACTAACTTGAAGTCACACACTCTCACACACACACACCACACACACTCCACACCGTTATTCCATGTGAAAGCCACTGAGTGTCGGACTA